CCTTTTGGCGTGCACCTTGCATTCTACTTTTACCAGAATCGTAGCGTAGTAAAATAGAATTGAATTTGTTTGGCTTGTGCAATGGCTTGCGATGTATCAAGTCAGCTTTTCCAGTCTCGCAGACAAGTTTGGTACTGAAAACCGGCTCCGGAGGGATGGAAGCTCCGGCTGCCTGGGCCGCGGACGATCCACGGTTTGGTCAACGGGCTGATCCCATGTTAAGTAGCGCCTCTTGCCACTACACCATCTCCGCTTCTAAATTTGGAAATAAAAAATTTACTCTTTTTTCAATTTTGGTGTTGATGTGCGAAATTGCATTAGCACACGTATGTAGCGCATTTCCTAATTAGAGATTTCTCTCGAAAACATTTTGTAAAGCAAGACTGGAAAAGTAGGTGTATGCATCACTCGGAAGATCAGAGTAGAGTGAAGCCATCTTATAGCTAGTATACGGCAGCGAAATATCATTTCGTTGTGAGATTAGCTTTCAGTAAAGAAAGTTTTATGATTCTAGATACACAGGTTTAGGAACGAGTGGCTTGCGTCAAGGGTGGCGTGCAGTTTCTCAATGCTGTTGGTTTCAAAGAAACAATGGAACCTCTAAAAGATGGCGATGCTCCCGAAAGGTTCCTTGTTATTCCTGAAAACGCCGCCAGTGATACAGGTCATCTAGTCACCGCGTTGTCATTGTTAAGAGATGGACAGAGCGTCCCAATCAAAGTGTCGCGTGAAACAACGGTTGGTTTGAGCTACCGTTACTGCACGAGTTTTCATTATCGAATCGGAATCCTTGTGGTTTATACCAATCCGCAGCTCTAGATCTACCACGTTGGCGAGAATGAGCGTATTCCGATGCCGAGATTACCTGCGGATTTTTTCGATCTGACTGCAGAAGAAATCCGTCGCGAGCAACAAAATAAAACAGAGGAGGTCAACAGAGTCAGTGTTTCCATTCATTATTTGATAACTTGCTTTCTACATCCTGTGAATTTGTTACCGGCTTTACCTGTTAGATATATTGTAGGTATCCTCGCAATAAAATTCCCATTATGTGTTCAGATGCTCACTCTACGTACTCGTGAAATGCGTGAAAGAGATGAGAAGCTACGTCAATATAGTTATAAATACACATTGGTTCGCATTCGGCTACCGGACAGATATGTTCTTCAGGTACGACAACAGTTTTCTCTCAGTTCTTCATTTATTTTGGTGTTTTCAGGGAACATTTGGATGTTATGAACCATTGTCTGTGGTTCGTGAGTACATTGCGAAACATCTCTCGAATCAAGCTGCATTGTTCTCGTTGTATAATCCTGTTCGAGGTAGCGAACCACTGGTCGATGAAAACAAAAGCTTGGCAGCCCTGGGGTTGGCTCCAGCAGTGGTACTTCATTTGGATTGGGACGAACCAATCAGCGGTCCAAGCTTATCACAAGAGTTTATCGATGTCGCCGTACCTCTCTCTGTCAGCTAGCCTTCCTTTTCTCGTTTCCTGAAATGTTTCCTTTTTCGACTTTTGCTCGGGTCATTTGTTGGTTTACTCGGATATTCGCTTCCTATTATTAGCACAATGCTTGAAGTAAGCTTAGAGTTAACCTTTCATTAATATAACTACTTCATTGATTGCTAACCTTTCTGCTTGTATATTTATCGAGCGGTTCCAGCCAGTTGAGCCAGAATCTGTTGATGGATTAGACAAATAAATCTTTTAATGACCATTTTTATCAGTGCAGCTTGAGTCAATCTTCAATTTTATCCTATTTCAATTTGAAATATCGAATTTCCTTCATGGAAGGAGTTATACAGGATGAGCTCGGAACCCACACGCGATTCGACGACGCTTAAAAACATATCGGAAAGGAGACCAGGTCAGTTCATTGTTAAGTTTCTACTTTTCTGATTGGAACTACACAATTTTCAACTGTTTATTTTTCAAGATTCATTCCTACTTCTCAATCCTCGTCCTGAAAAGCTAGTAACAGAACCAGTTAAGCCGTCTCCTATCATTGAAAGGTATGCTGCATAGGTTTTTGTACTTGCATAAGCTTTCAATCGTTTTCGTAGTTTCCTGAAGCTGAGTCCTCTTTTGTTTCTATCGCTACTTGATCTACTCTTTTTGAATTGAGATAGCATTTAGTGTGTAGGATACTGACGTGAACCTCTGTCCAAAGATGGAACCCACCAGGAAGGGGTGATTTGTCCAAGAGATTTTCAAACCTACACTGTGTATGGATGTGTCTTCGAACGCTGATCTCGAATCTGCTTTCCAAATCTGCCAAACGATTTTCTGAATGGAGTTATGAAGGAAAGTAGTGCAGCGGTAGTAGTCCGGGTTCACGTGCGAGACGTCGTAGGATCGATTCCCTGGCGGGTTCTCTTTTTGCCTTCGCTGCAAAATGGTTGAAAAAGGCTCCTAACTATGTTGCTTAATCGACGCTCGCCTATAGTTGCCCGTACAAAGAATTTTTAAAACGAGTGAAGAATGCGAGGAGTTCTTAACAGGGTGGGGCACTACTTGCTAATGTCCGTACATGGAGCGCAAAGAACTGTTGGCGGACGTTTTTGCAGCATACATACGTGATATTCGTGTCCCAGAGATGACGTACCCCTAAGGTCAAGTTTTTAACTAGGTCACTCGCCAGGGAATCGGTGCTGTGACCTCCTGCCCGTGAGCCCGGACCACTACCGCAGCTCCATTTTGCTTTATAAGGCCGATGTCAGACTTCGTGAATCAAACGGGATGCGAGTGTTGCGTCAACTAATCGAGCTGGGTACCAGCGGATCAAACGATGCACCATCGACTCGGCACTGTTTGAAAGTGGCGGGACTCCCTCTCGTTTGCATGTTGACTCTCGCCACTTTCCGAACTCTCATACCCTCTCACTCTGTCATGCCTCATGAGCCCCACAGTGGCGAAGCCAACATTCAAAGGAAGTCCCTAAGTAACTTTCAAACAGTGTCGAGTCGCTGGTACATCGTTCGATCCGCTGGTACACAGCTCGATTCGCTGGTGCAACGCCCGCACCCGCGATTCGCTAGCGAATCGCTGATTCGCAAATTTTAACATCAGCCTGACTCCGTTCAGAAAGTCGACCCAAAACCCACCCAATAGTGAAGATTACATATGGCCATTTCGACCTTCATCTTTTCCTGAACAGCTTGGCTAGTTTTCATTTTCAGTTCATGGGACTGATCATGTATCTAGTTTTGAAACTCCTGGCTTCCAAACTAGTATTGTTCCAACGTTCGAGATAGACCCCATGAAGGGTATTAGGGGTTCATTCGGATTCCATTGAGGTCTATCAGTGATGACCGTCAAATTTGTCCTTTGATAGCAATTTTTACGACAAGTAACATCCTATGCCGCTTGAGTTTATGACAAACTGCGTGTTAGTAAGCCACTTGTAAGTGTATGCGTCCTTTCCAGGAGCAATAATCTCCTCGTTGATACATCGGCAATGGTTGTTTATGCCAATCCGAAACGACGATATAGAAAAAAATAAGCAGCTGAATAAGAGGCTGATTGATACCGTATCCTGCAATACTGAATACTCAAATAGACAATTCTGCAATTTTTTTTCATACAATAGGGACCCCATCCCATTCTAATCCAGAAACTTTTGACCTTATGCTTTTGCAATTATCATCATGGTCGTGGCTCGTGTGACATTACCAACTTGCATTAATTCTCGCAGCCTATTCACTACTTATTCTTCTTCTCAGCAATGTCAGATCGATACCTTTTGGCTATCTTTTCAAAAAACAGCTCGTTCAACCTCATTGATTTACCCTTTGCTGAAGCCACCGTCCGATTGCAGTATAAGGATAAAGGATAAAGCATTTGCCGTTGATCAATCCCTTTTGGGATGCGGCACGCATTCTACTTCCATTTGTACATTCGTAGTGGCGTTTGAATGCGATGTGGCCTATACAATGACTTGCGGGGGCCAAGTCAGTGTTTTTATCCTCCCAGACAAGTCTGGTACCAATTAACCGACCCCGGAGGGATGGAAGGCTTGGTTGGCCCGGGCGACTCACGACCCAGGATTTGATCCCCGGACCGCTCGCGTGGTAAGCGCGCCACTTGCCACTACACCACTTCCGCCCCGTTGCAGTAATACCATCTAGAAACAGCAATATCTGAGTGTTGTGAACGTTTCGTGAGTTATCCTCGATACTTTAGATTATGTTCCTTCATTCCAAAAATAGCTGCAGCAAATGAATCGTTAACGCAAGGAGGAGTCGATGAAGCAAGGAAATTGGACGTTGATATCCATAAGGTTCCATTTGACCTGGATGAAAGTGACACCAGCAGCAGTGGTGAAAGTAGCTGTAGTGATGATGATCTTGACAGCGAGACGGTAAGCTTGTTGTCACATTGATCATTATTATTATTGTCTATTTACCAACAAATGAGTTCCATATTTTGTCTAATTGTACGTCATCATTAACTATTTCTTCTGAATATTTTCAGGAGTCTGATCCGAAAGTGGAGTTCAATCTATCACTTTTTCGTGAGGACGATTCAACTGCATCAGCTGCTACATCTGTACCATCATTAATTCCACAAGAAGTGGAACTACTACCTGAAGCCTTTAGGGAAGATGGTTGTCCTAAGTGTGATGATCGGAATACGAATAAATCGAAAGCCTTGATTGAGGAGATATAGTGTTCGATTTAGTGGTGTCACGGTATGTCGACTACCATTTCAACTGATTGTATTTTTCTTCATATACTGTTAACAATTCCGTTGTTATTGTTACTTTTAACGGACAGTTCTGTCAGTAATTATTTCAAACATTGTCAAATACAGCCTGTCTCTACTTGATGTGTCAAATTTTTTTCGTAATGTCAACGTAGTGGCTATGTTTTTGCATATATGTTTTAATCCAAAGTTGTCTGCAGTCTTTCCGTTCTGCGGGGTGATGATGAGTGTATAGTACTATAGAATGTAAGCAGAAAACAAATTTCAACTCAAATGTTGGACATATTCTGGTTTCTGGCAGCACTCCAGCAAACATTTTGCTATAAGACTTATATATGTCGTTGTGCTTTTCTTTCTCTGAGATCATTTGACATGATCGTTAGCAGGTGGCAGTTGACAGCGTATAGCAGTCGGGGGAGGGGGTGCCCCCTGTTAAGCGCAGATATTGTCTATATTGAGTGTGCGGGGAGAACAGA